CCCTGAGGGGTTCCAGACTGCAAGAGGGCACAGGCCAGGCTGAGGGAACCTCCCTTCCAGTGCATGAATTTCATGCACTGGGCCTCTAGTTATTAATAAAACACAATACCTAATTCTGAACTGACTAAAGTTTATTTCAGTGCTTTGAGGATATATTGTTAAGAAGGGTTATTCTTTTATTTCTTTTGTATGTGTGTGTTTGCTTTATGATAATAAATGAGTATCTCAAAATATTGATGAGTATAACTGCATAAACAATTTGTATGAGATGAACTTCCTCCTCCATTCACTCTTTGTAAGCCATGTGCTATTGTATCTCTATGCCTTTTCATCTACTTCTGCTGGGTGAGTCCTCCTTCCTGTTATTTGCAGATAAACTCCTGCTCATGGGTCAAGATCTAGCTCACTTGTCATCTCTTTGATAAAACATTTTTTCAAATCCTGCAGGAAAGACAAATCTTCCATCTTCTACTGGACTAAGTACAAATAAAGGCTAATGTTCATTATGAATTGACTGTGTGCCAATATTGTACTAAATGTAACGTCTATTACTTTTTAAAACCCACAACAATTCTATGAATGCGGGCTTATATTATCATTTTAAAGATGAGAAGATTGAGGTACAGGCAGATTAAGTAACTTATAAACTGAATAAGTGGCAGAGATTTGAAGCCTGACAGTGTGAGTACCGTCTTTAAGGACTTGGTATGTTGCCTTCTTTAGACAAGTGGCTGTCCTGAATTAGCTGTTAGATTTCCTCTAAGACATCCTGGACTGGGGACCTTGACTGAGAGCCCCAACTGCATCCACTCTAGATCCACCATAGCAGCTGCTCCTGGCCTATAGACAGGCAGACATGGGTACTAGTGCCAACCTACATCTACCCAGTGGGTGATTATTTTAATGGGTAACCTTTGTTTGGGGAATCCCTGTTGCTATTCAGATGAATCCCCATTAAAATGGTCACATCCAGCTGCTCATAGAATAAGGCAGCCATCGGTCTGAAACTGTTTTGGTGGGTGAAAGATCAAGAAAAGGCTCCTAAATACAGCAAAATGTTGTATGTAGTAACACTAATATATTTAAAATAAGTCAGCAGCAAACCACACACACAAAGACATCTTTTGTATTAAGAAAGGAAGCATTGTAAAATAAGATGAATTTGGGTTGGCCTTTGAGAACTCTTCTTGCTTTTTTGTTTCTTTTTGTGGGCACATGCGCACCCATCTGTATGTGTTTTTTCCACTAAACTGACAAGCCATGTTGAGTTGTCTTGGTCCACTGCTTTCCCCCCTTTTGAGTCACTACATGGTGCTGCTATGTGTATACATTTTCATGTGTTTGTTCCTCATTATGAATTCTAGTTTTTTGCTAATTACATTTGACTTTCCTGTCTGTAAGAAAAAGAAAGAAAAAGAAAAAAAAAGAAAGAAAAAAAGAAAGAAAAAAGGCTGAGACTGTTTGAGAAACGGGCTGCAGTCCGTGGCTCCTCTTACCGCCCCTTCCTTCCTGCTTTCTTTGCAGTGTCTGACTGCACCTTCCCGCCTGCTCATGCTCTCACCTCTTTATCCTTCACACATTTCTTCCAACAAGCGTTTTCATATCTAATCATGTCTTAGTGTCTGCTTCTCAGAGGATAAAACAGAAAAAAAATATGGGACATGATCCCTGCCTCAAATAACGCAGTCTCTCTGGAGAAAGGAATAAATTTCATGTATATAATTCAATGTGATCATTCCATTTATTTCAGTAGTCTTAGGAATGCAGATAAGGAAAGACGTGTTCTGTCTGGAGTAGAGGAGTGTATAGTAAGGAAAAGTGCAAGGAAGAGATGACTTTTAGATTGGATCCCAAAGCAATAGCTAGAATGACTGAGATAAGGGTATTTCAGAAAGAGAGAATAACATTAGTCAGCAATGACACAGGGGTATGAAAGTGTTTAGTATCTTTCCCAGTTCTCGGAAGTTGCCTCACTGCTATCACACTTAAAACAAAAACATAAATCAGCAAAGTATACTTTGTTCAAAACTGCAAGGGACCTGAAGTCACAGTCACCCCAAGAGCAAAGGAAGCCAGCCTCATCTCTCCTTTTCCACCCTCCCACATCCTCACGTCTATCTGTATTTATTGCACATAACATGTTCCAGGCACAGACAGGTTGTCAGAGGAAGATTCACAAATATGGTAGGACATAAAATGTTCTAAGAAAAACAGAAATCTACAGGAAAATAATTGGCTTTCTTGCCCCCACTATTTATTTCCTTTCTGAGAGACAAAAATTATATATACAAGTAAATAAAATAAGAAGCACCAATCGGGGGTAAATTATATGAGGAGGCCAAGCTACTGTTAATATACTCTGTGATGAGTCTCTGTGGATCCAATCCAGCTGAAACATGTAAAGGAAGGGGCATCCTTGGCAGAGACAATCCTGCATTTCCAGGGGAAAACTTGTAGCCTGACTATTTATTATAGAAGGTATGCTAAGTGTTGAAAAGTTTGGAAATGCAGAAACACAAAGAAGAAAAGACAAACCACCCATAATTGTATGACACAGGGCAATATACACACATATATGCATGTGTGCATGTGTGTGTGTGTGTGTAGAATATCTATAATAATGAAACGTAATATGCTAATTAGACCAGATAGCCGAATGTCCTTCTGGACGTCATTCCGGACAAAGCTGCCACAGAGGGGGTTGAGGCAGAGGCAGTTAGGGGTGATGAGGCAGGCAGGCGAGCAGTTAGGGGCATCAGGCAGGCAGGCAAAGTGGTTAGGGACGATCAAGCAGACAGATGAGTGGTTATGGGTAATTAGGCAGTCAGGCAAGTGGTTAGGATTGATCAGGCAGGCAGAGTGGTTAGGGGTGATTAGGCAGGCAGGCAGGTGAGTGGTTAGGAGCCAGGAGTCCTGGATTGCAAGAGGGATGTCCGAATGCAGATTTGGGATTGGGCCTAAACCAGCAGTCGGATATCCCCCGAGGGGTCCCAGATTGTGAGAGTGTACAGGCCAGGCTGAAGGCCCCCCCACCCCCAGCATGAATTTCTTTCCCTGGGCCTCTAGTATTTGAAATAAAAAGGCTAACACAGCATGGAACATTTTATAAACAGCTAGAGAATTTCTTCTGCTTGATTTCTGCAATGTTTTCCTTTTCTAATTCTCTGCTCTGTCTTTCTTTCCCTGACTTTTTATCTTAGAATCCTCCTCTTAAATCTCCATTCATTCAACTTTGTCTTCCAACATGGCAAGATGGTTATTCCCTAGTCTCCACTACTGCCCATGCACTGGTAGCTTCCTTAACAACTGCCCTTGTAACCCCCAGACCTATGTTTTCTAAGTAACATCTCAACTTGAATATCTCACATGTCACTCATAGTCATTCTATCAAAAACTGAACTCAATTCATGACATGACTCTCAAACCAATTTCTACTAAAGCTTTCCCTTGGTTTTTAGAAACTGTTGGTTAGATACTGAAGCCAGGAGACTATTATTCTTGCCTTCTTTCTCTTTCTCACTTCTAATGTCCATTGGTCACTAAGTATGATCTTTTCTATGTGCCACCATCTCTCCCATTGTTTCACCCTCTCCAATACATTTGACATGGCCTTTGTAAGGGGCCCTCATCATCTCTCACCTATACTGTTGCAGTGAGTCCTTAATTTGTCTCCTTCCACTACATCCATCCAAGTCTACATCAAAGACTTAATAAAAAATAAAAAGTGAATATAAGAATAGACTACTTTTTCAAGAAATTTTGCAGAGCCCTAACTGGTTTGACTCAGTGGATAGAGCATCGGCCCACGGACTGAAGGGTCCCAGGTTCGATTCCGGTCAAGGGCATGTACCTTGGTTGTGGGCACATCCCCAGTAGGAGGTGTGCAGGAGGCAGCTGATCGATGTTTCTCTCTCATCGATGTTTCTAACTCTCTATCCCTCTCCCTTCCTCTCTGTAAAAAATCAATAAAATATATTTAAAAAAAAAAGAAATTTGCAGAGCAGGAAAGATAGAAACATTTAAGAACATCAGAAGGAGACCGGGTTAAGGCAAAGTTGTTCCTTAATGTAAAGAAATTCAAAGAATATTTGTCAACAGCAAGGAAAAGAGTTGTCTTTTATTGCCTACACTGTAAGAGAGGGTAAACAGGCTAAGTTTCCCACGAATGTGGGAGGAAATGAGATCCTATAAAAACCCTTAGGACCTCAAGGAAAGGAACCCAGAAGAGGTAAAACATCTATAGTTGAGGCCAATATAGAGGGACAGTAAAGGAGTTTACACTTTTGAATTCTCAGTTATGTCACCTGCTAAAGGTGAAAGAAAGAAGGGAAAGGGAGACCTTTGAAAAGATAGGTAAAAGCTTGTGACACCTTGATCTTGAATACTGGTGAATGAAATTGAGTAGGGTTAAGCAATTATTTGTCGACATGTTCACCATTGCCAACCACACTTAGCAAATGCCTGGAACAAAGAGGCCCTCAGTAAACATCAGAGAGGTTAGGCACCACCGTGTTAGAAACCAGGTCTTAGTCACACAGCGAGCACTGTGCCTAGTCATTGTAGAAACTCAAGAGTCAAAAATATAAATTGGTCTACAGGAAATCGCATAAAAACATCATTAGCCACATTCTTAAAAACTGGAAACTTCTCAGTTTTCCCCTTTAAGTTGAACATTATCAGAAAGAAACAAAGATAATTCATGTAATCTCAGAGATTTGTTAATTCTTAGGAAATATTTAAATCATTAAAAATTAGATAGCCTCCTTATGCTTACTACCAGATTGTGCAGTGAAAATAAATGCTAGAATTATGAATCATAAAGCCATAAACATTCTTCAGTTCTCAAGAATGATAACAAAATAGTCATTATATTTTAATTACCCAAGAGAGGAAACAAAATTAATCTCCTTTAGAAAACAAATAAAGAAGGCTTCTAATAAATTCTCAGTAAATATATGCTATGTCACCTTGAAGTGACCTACAGAAACAATTAGTTCTACCTTCACTCTGTCTGTGCGGCTGTTGAAAAGTCCAATCCGCCTAATGGTGCTGAGGATGGGGTCAGTCGAGTCATCGATCATGTTGTGAGTGGTCACTGGAGGCAAAGACTGTCGCTGAAGTAATGGGAGAAAATGTCAATCATGGAAAGAACTAATGTGTGACTAATTGCAACAATAGGTCATTGGCAACATTTCATACAACCTTCCTCCAGTCTTTTGAGACGACACTAATGAGGATGACTAAGGTTTGTGTGTTTCAGTGGACGAAAATGGGTTCAAGCACGGCCTTTGTATATGGTGAACACATGCTACTTTTGTTTTTCACCTGCAGCCACTATACAAAAGGCCAAGGCATCTTGCCTGCTCCTGGGATTTACTTGAAATATGAATGTCCTGAAATCTTGCCTTGAGAGGAGCTCCTCTTTTATTTTTATTTTATTTTATTTTTCTTTATTGATTAGGAGCTCCTCTTTTAAATCCTTTAGTGGGGCTGTCCTCCAGTGACTGATCCCTCACTATAATGACAAGAGTTTGCTGTACGCCTAACACAACACTTACCTTTTCTTCTTTGCAATAGTTCTTCTTGTCTGAGAAACATTCACGTTTTCTCTACTGTAACTCAAAATTTTATGCTTTTTGAAAAAATTAGGTTTTTATTGTCATTGCACATACACTTCTTTTCAATTGGACACAATGGTTCCAAATTATTATTATTATTGTTATTATTATTAGTGCCCGGGGAGAGTGCAAACACAGTCCCTCACTACCACAAACTATGCAGTTGAGTTTTCTACATTTGGGGACATCACAGGGGTCAGCACAGCCAGAATGCAATGGGTGAGCCTTGCCCTGGGAAGCTACCCTTGGGATCATGGCATCTTCCCTGCTAAGTAAATATCAAATATAATTTTAAATTGGATACAAGAAAAGCCCTGTGTCCAATTTCTCTTATGAACCACTCATAAAAGAGAACACAAAGTTGACATTTTGGTGAATACAGAAGAATGACTTTCTAGTCCTTGAGTTTAAAAATTTCCCAAATTAGCCCATTCCAATAAATTAAAATATCAAATACATTGATTTTAACATTGGGAAGTGGTAGGCACTTTTTTCTTTACTACCTGAGTTGAAAAGATGGCTCTTTTCATTATTGTTAGATCATCTCGATCCAAAATATTGTTCATATCAGGAATTTCTCCTCTGTGGGAAAAACAATGTTAATAATAAAAATAAAAACAACTGGCACTCATTCGGTGCTCTTTTGTGTCAGATACTGTTCTAAGCACTTTAAAAATAAAAGTAAATATAGTTTCCAGATGAAGCTCACAGATAAATTCCTAAAGTGTGAAGAAGTTTGGTAAAGATAGCATTGCTCCAGCCAGGGGACTCAGGCAGTTGGAGTGTTGGGGCTCATACAGGAGGCAACCAATTCTTGCACTTCAATATTCTCTCTCTCTCTCTCTCTCTCTCTCTCTCTCTCTCTCTCTCTTTCTCTTCCTCCTTTCCTCTCTAAAATCAATAAGCATATCCTCAGGTGAGGATTTTAAAAATAGCATAAAAAATCAAAATTGATTTTTTATAGCATTCATGTTCACCACCAGGGGACACTCTCATTGTTTTGCCCATTTCTGAGTACTACATTCTGAGTGGCCGTAACTTGTCCATCTTTAAGTTGATACTTTCACTGGTAAAGAGAAATGATGTTCACCTAATTCCATGGGTCAGGAGACAACATGGTTTTCTCTTCAAATCACAGAAAAAATCATGTATTTTAGTATTATTATTATTATTAGGTTATAATACATTTAAATTTGATTTTGTTATTTAGTCTTTATTATATCTGTAAATTACATATCTTATTTATTATTTATTAAATAAACACATACTCAGTACTATTAATATGTTAATTAATATTCATTAATATGTTTGGTTAATAAATAAATCCTGATTTAATATGTCAACATAATTAATATATTAAGCCAATATATACTTTGACTTAAAATCTCATGAACTCTTAGCTTCAGATTGGCATACTAACACTTAACAAGATTTTCATTGAATTAGAACCTATTTGCATATATAAATATGTTCTCATTTGTAAAACCTGTTTACAAGTGTTTGTCAGATGAAGGATAAAGGAAAACCTACTGATATGATGTCACACATCTTCAAAGGGTGTTAATTCCTTTATATTCAGAACAACATAAATGTATTATACCACTGAAACTGTTAAGATGGAATGTGACATCCAAATGTTTGAGGTGGTACGTGTTCCAAACACCTACCTTAATAAGGCGTCATAGAGTTTCTTTCCAAACTTTTCCTTCACAGAATGTGCAATGTCCCTGATTGGGGAAAAAAATCTATAATTAAACAGTGTCACAATTTTACATCTTTATTCATCATGATAACGCTATTGTTAGTGCATTGTTAAAATTACAGTTCTCTTTTGTATTGACTCCTCTATTATCTTCGTATTTGCCAATTTGGCTTGAGTTAAAACATCCAGAGCTGAGGCAGCAGAGCCCTGACCAGCCCACATTGTTTAACTTTTTTTTTGCTTGATGATATTCAGGGTAGGGCTGAGGGTTGGGAGGGGGAGTAGAAGGAGGTATAGATGTAACAAGATTGGGAATGTGTTGATAATTGTTGAATATAGGCTATCGGCACAGAAGAGGTCATTATACTAATTTGTTTACTTTGCCATGTTTTTATTTGCATAATAATTTTTAAAAAATTCAACCCATCTTTAAAGAGTTCTACAGAGGCTTTATCCTTCCATGATAGCCTATTGCAAAATTTTTATTGTAACCCGGTTGTATAGCCATTACCTAATCTAGCATCATAGCCCAATGAGAAGAGAACCAAGTAGTATTTATGCTATAATAATCTTAAGGAAAAAATAGTTCAGGAATATATATATCAGAAATCATGCACATAAAAATAACCCTTTGCAGTTTTTGCTTGAGAACATTTACAAGACATGAGATTACCATAGCTGCTTTCGCACTGCCTGGCCTTTCAGGGTTTCCACATTGAAATTGTTTGTCTTGGCAGGCATAATGAAAAACACCACCACTGTGACGTCACTTTTATGCATCTAATGAGGGATCAGAAAACATAACAGAGTCAATGACCAAAGATAAAATAAAACGTGTGACAGGCGGACCTCCCATTTTGAACAAACAGTGTTTAAAAATATCTTTAGGCAAAAAGAATACTTTTTGTGATTCACAGAAAAATTGTACCCGCCTTCCTAAGGTTTTTTCAGAAAATTTATTTTAAATTGGGCTTTCAATAGATGTTTGTTGATTAAAAATTTTAAAATTCAGACAAAATATTTTCATGGCATGAATCACCTAAAATACCTAGCAATTGATATTGTTATCACAATCTTCTCTGTAGTTAAGAAAGTAAAACAAATTTGAGCTAATACTAAAGGGTCAAAATTCGCTCTTTAAAATTTAAGATTGGAAACTTAATGAGGATTTAGTTTTGGTTTATTCTATTTTTTCCCCTTAGCTTATATACACTGATTTACACAAAAGATTATTTACATTTTTTGTCAAGTTTCTTTATTCTCATGATATCACATTTTGGTTTTTTAGCACGAAGGTAAAGAAGCAAGCATAGGCTCAGCAATTTTGTTGATGCAGGCACTGTGCTGGATGCAGTCATGGGAATGAAAGCATAAACTCAAACCATGAACAGATGAACGCTCATATGTTCTAGAAATGACCATCTTCTGAGAGCAGGGCATTTTACCATCTAATCTGCCGCCTCGCACTCTAGGGCCTGACGATCTATTCAAAAATCTATGGAAATCTTAGCTATTGTAAATTGTGCTGCTATGAACATAGGGATGCATATATCCTTTCTGATTGGTGTTTCTAGTTTCTTGGGATATATTCCTAGAAGTGGGGTTACTGGGTCAAATGGGAGTTCCATTTTTAATTTTTTGAGGAAACTCCATACTGTCTTCCATAGTGGCTGCACCAGTCTGCATTCCCACCAGCAGTGCACAAGGGTTCCTTTTTCTCCACATCCTCTCCAGCACTTGTCCTTTGTTGATTTGTTGATGATAGCCTGACAGGTGTGAGATGGTACCTCATTGTTGTTTTGATTTGCATCTCTTGGATGATTAGTGACTTCAAGCATGTTTTCATATGTCTCTTGGCCTTCTGTATGTCCTCTTTTGAAAAGTGTCTATTTAGGTCCTTTGTCCAGTTTTTGATCGGGTTGTTTATCTTCCTTTTGTTAAGTTGTATGAATTCCCTATAAATGTTGGCGATCAAACCCTTATCAGTGATAACATTGGCAAATATGTTCTCCCATGCAATGGGCTTTCTTGTTGTTTTGTTGGTGGTTTCTTTTGCTGTAAAGAAGCTTTTTTATTTCATAGCAGCACAATTTACAATAGCTAAGATTTGGAAACAGCCTAGGTGCCCATCAGCAGATGAGTGGATTAAAAAACTGTGCTACATCTACACAATGGAATACTATGCTGCGGTAAAAAAAGAAGGAATTCTTACCATTTGCAACAGCATGGATGGAACTGGAGAGCATTATGCTAAGCAAAATAAGCCAGTCAGAGAAAGATAAACATCACATGATCTCACTCATTTGTGGAATATAGTGAACATCATAAACTGATGAACAAAAATAGATACAGAGGCAGAGAAGCATTGAACAAAGTGTCAAACTTCAGCAGGAAGGCAAGGGAGGGTAGGAGGGGGTAAGAGATCAACCAAATCAACCAAATGACTTGTATTCATGGACACAGACACTAGCGAGGTGAGGGCATTGGCGGGGAACAGGGGTGGAAGAGGGTGGTGGAGGGGAGAGGCCAGGGAGAAGTCAATAGGGGAAAAAGGAGACATATGTTCTACTATTTGTAATACTTTAAACAATAAAAAAGAAAAAAAAGTCTATGGAAGCCATAGCATAGGAAACATGATATAACACTGGAGAGCTTCCTTACCCTCAGCAGGAAATTGAGCCTGGATAAGGACTCTAGGAAGATGTCAGCTCCTTTGTTTGAAAACTCATACCTCCCAGCAATGAAAAAGAACAAAGTTTTTTCAAGATCAAAGTCCAGATGACTAAAACAAAACAAAACAGTTTCAAATGAAAGAAAGCACCAGCAACAAAATGTACAAAGGGAATCCTGTTAAAGTACAAAGGGGATGGGAAAGATAAACATGTACTGTAACAACACCGTTTTCTCTATACCAGAGATCCCTAACATTGCACCCTAACTTTTTTTAAGAAAGAAAAACACATACCCGTAAAAATGACCCCGAACAAATTCTTGTATCCTAGCCTTGTACATTGCATGTAGATTTTGAAACTCATGCATTGCTGAAAATTTCTTAACATTCAAGCCATTTGGAGTAACTACATCTGGAGAAGCAAAAATAAAATAGTTATGAAAATGTTCTTTTGAGAGAGAATATCATTGTAGAAAAACAGTGTATTTACATTTATATAAAGTTTGATTCTATTAACATTTCCAGGTTATGACTATCATAGAAATGAAAATTCATAAATGTTCACAATAAATTGTAGAAATAGGAAACGAGGAGTGCATGACCAAAATAACATTGGTTCAATGACATAGCAGAGTTAAAAGCAATAATGATGATTGTTATAGTTCCATTGCTTATGATGCACCAGGCACGGCTCGCAGTGCTTCACAATGTAACTCATTAAATCCTTGTAACAACCAATGGAGTCGGTGCTCTCGATTGCATTTCCAGTGGCAAAAACATTTTTTCCCCCTCTACTGTTTTCTGCTTTTTGTTTGTTTGTTTGAACCAAAGTTCTCATGCTCTCTTGTCATTTGGAATGGAAAGATCAGTGACAAACTGAGGGGTCAACATTACCAGGCTTTCTCTTCAGCATGTGCTCTGCCTCTATTGCTGTTATTTCAGAAACTGTGGTGAACACGTGCGCACAATGGACGGAGGCCCGCTCCAGGCAGTACCGGTGGTAGATCTGCCTTTCCCCAGCCTCTTTGTCTATGTCAAACTGTTCAAAACAAAACACAAGCACACGTCCATTTGCGGACACTGATTCTTCCACGCAAGCAAAACAAAGTCACATATTTTTCATATTGTGTTCCCCAAAAGCCGTGTGAAATTTTATGCCCACTAAAAAGTAACGAACATTTGTATTTAATCCCATTACTAAGTGCAGAGCTACTTATGCTTACACAGGTGTTGCTTACTTCATTTCTGCTACAAAACTGCTATGTAAACCCCTGAGTAAATGACATTTCCACTTTGTTATAATCACATAGAAATCTTGATTTTCTTTGGCATTTCAATTATACTTTTATTTATCCCACATTTTATAAATACTGAGCTAATTTCTTTCCCCAAGGTCCTTATCATGTTTTTGCCCATAAACAATGAAGTAAAGCTGACATAAAAATTGATACAAAAATTAGGTTAATTATTATTATCCTTAACTCACTGAAAGGAAGCCTGACAATGAAAAGACAAATGTTTTTCCATGACTATTGTAGTCCTACCACTATATAATTTCAAGGGTGTACAGTTATATTAATTAGATAGTGTGATAGATTGTGTAATCATTCTATCAAGCCAGTCAGAATATTCATTATTCTGGGTATCTTAGCTTAAAAATATACGCACAATAAGCCAAACCCCCACAATTAAATAGGTGCCAACAGTTGCGGGCTTTTGCCATTTGGCTTAGTTACTGAATATTATTTTTAATATAGTTGCATATGAAAGTAGCAGTGTCTAAGAGAAAAAGCTATATAGTTTCTGGCCTTGTATCAGCAATGCACTTTTCATATTAGAAGCTTTTCAAAACTATGCATCAGACATTCTTCTAAGCAGGACATCATATTTAATCCTCATAAACCACTGAGACACTTATTTTGTCTTCATTTTATAGAGGGGGGATCGAAATTTCTAAAGTTTAAAGAACTTGCTCAATGTAATATTCATATCTTAGCAGAGTCCTGTTGATCCAAATCAGCCTGACTGCAAACTTGTGCTCTCACCTGTTTTTATACCATTTAGTCTCTAGCTCAATCAACAAGTCAGTCCCAGTAATTACTGTACCAGAGAGAGGGAAATACTAAAAAAAGATTTATTAGATGTTTCTAAAGATTAGAACAAGATAATTTTAGAATAGTCTCTCTGTAATATTTACAAACATCTCTCTGAAATGGGTTGAACCTGGGTTCTCTCTATATGGTATTCTTGAATCAGCAGAAGTTTTTCTTAAAAGCTTTTTATGGCTGGTCTTATTTATTCAACCAATCTCTCATTCAACCAATATTTGTGGAATAATTTATGTGTTTCTGTTACCTTCAAAGAGCCTATAACTTAGTGAGGAAATGAGTAAAAATCAGGCGGAAATGAGTAAGTGCCTGAGTAAGGTATGAGATCAGAACAGGATAGGAAAAGTATCTCATCCTATATAATAAAACCCTACTATGCAAATCGACTGGACAGCAGAATGACTGGACACTATGACATACACTGACCACCAGGGGGCAGACACTCAACACAGGAGCTGTCCCCTGGTGGTCAGTGTGCTCCCACAGGGGGAGTGCTGCTCAGCCAGAAGCCAGGCTCATGGGTGGCGAGTGCAGTGGCGGTGGAGGGAGACTCTCCTGTCTCCACTTCAGGCAGGTGGTGAGGAGCGAGGGGATCCGGACTGTGAGAGGGGTATCTGACTGCTGGCTTAGGCCTGATCCCGGGGGGGGGGGGGGAGGGGGGGGATAGGGCCTAAGCTGGCAGGTGGACATCCCCTGAGGGGTCTTCGACTATGAGAGGGCGCAGGCCAGGCTGAGGGACCCCCACCCCCAGTGCACGAATTTCATGCATCAGGCCTCTAGTACTATATAAGTGTTCATATTATCAATATCACCTCTAGAATGTAAGATTTTTAGGGATAAGAACCATGAGTTATGCATAAAATAGCATTTGGACATGAAAATTTAATTTGAGGAAAGATTATTTTAGGCTGAAAAATTAACTGCCCTAACAAACAAATATACTAAGTCAAATGAAATTTGCAGAAAATAGCAAAATGTATGGTGTGACTGTGGCATTGGGTGTAGAATGTAGGAGACATAGTAGGGTGACATCCTGGTAGGATATAATAGAGCCAGGCCCCAGAATTCCCTGAAGACAAGACTAGAAATTTAGCCTTTGTCCTGTATACAATGGCAAGACTGAATGGGCTTGTTTAGAGATATGGTAAAGACAGCCTATGTTTAAGAAAAATAATTCTGGAAAAGTATGTTTCTTATCTCACTGAGCTTTTGTAAAGAGCAAATGAGGTAACAAGTCAAATATTTACAAAAGTTCCTCACACACAGAAAGTGCTCAAGAACTTTAACTATTGTTATTATTCATTGTTGTTGTTAGGAATAATATGATTTCATATATGGGGCAGTGTTTAATATTTAGACATGTAGAGATGGGATGATAGGTTTTCTAAGTGAGCAGACCAAGTACGCAAAGGTGAAGACAGGCACTTGTGCATGTTTCTGTCTTTTCCTGGCCCCATGGGGCCCCTTATCTTTTAGGCCTGTAGTATGTATGCCTGGTCACACCCATAGGCTTCACAGCAACCCTATCTATTTACACTGTCTACTTTCCCCCATATTCATGACAGCATGTTAAAATCTCTGTCTGGTCATTCCAACATCTAAAACATATCTGGGCCTGGTTCCTTTGACAGTGGAACTTCCTTCCCTGTGTTTTTTTTTTTTTTATATCTCATAGCCTTTTGTTGTATTCTAGATAATGTGTATAAAAGAACAAAGAATGAGGTATAAGGTTACAGTGGAGGGTAACCTTATCATTGAAGTTCACTAGTTTAAAACTTGGTCAGAGGAGAGAGTTAAAATCCATGCGACCATTGTGTACCAGTTGGCTTCCTTCACAATTTTCTAATCCCAAACAGCAATGTCCTCATTTCTATCAAGGAAATTCTGTTGCTATTAAAAAAAGAGAAGCCAAAACCTAAAAAAAATTTTTTTAAAGCATTAGTTGTCTAGCTATTTTATTTCGTTGAATGTATTGAGGTGACATTGATTAATAAAATTATATAGGTTTCAGGTGTACAATTCTATAATACATCCTCTGTATGTTATATTGTGTGTTCACCACCCCAAGTCAACCTCCTGCCATCACCATTTATCCTCCTTTCACCCTCTCCAACCTCCCCCAACTCCTTCTTAGTTATCTAGCTATTTTAGTGGAGGGAAAAGTTGACCCATTACTGGACTAATAAGAATAAATTTAAAAATATCTTGAAGAGTCTCAGAAATTCATACGCTGGCTAGAATGGTTGGAATGCTCTTTCAGCTAATAAATTTAACTAAAAACTTAAACCAACTTCAAAATCTTTGTGAATTGGCTAGTAACAAAAAATGTTTTCAGTTATCAATTACTATTTGAGTAAGTAGTTTTATCTTTCTGGTTTTAGAGAAGTTGAATACTTTTATTTTTCTTCTCATTTCCCCACTCCTACCCCATGTTCATCTGCCTGAGCCAGAACTTACTGAGGCAGATCTTGGGTCTTGTTTCAAAGACTAAATTCTGACTCATTTCTTATGTTGAACTTTAAAAAACTTTCCATGTATATAATTTAGTTGTTTTCTTTTTTATGTATCACCCAAATTCTAAACCCAATGTGAGTATGGGGAGAGGGTCTACTATGGAAAATGATGATAGGGTGTGCTTTTTCTGTAAGAAATGATTATGAATTTAATTCAAAATCTAGTTCTTGACTACTTATTGTTTACCAGTGACTCTGCTGGGCAGGGCATTTTACTAGAACAATGGACTGGGGTCTTACTTCAACCAGCGAGGGGCTTTAAGTTGGGGAATATATAATCCTATTTGAAGATAGTATGATATAAATACTGACCTTTATCAAGAGGATAAAGTTGTTATATATAACTATATATACTACCATGCATTTGTTCCTTAAAAAAAACAATAGCTGAAGTATATTCTTAGTTGTTTTCCTTAATTACTATATAATGCTCTTAAGAATTCTACAGTAAAATATTTGGTATGCCTCTCTAACATTTTCTCTTTCACAAAAATCAAAGTCTGCCCTTCTCCAGGAAACATGGTTGGTGAGCTTACCACAGATCACTGGTTTGCCCTTATTAGTCTATCAACATCATATGCCATTAAAAAATTTCCCAGCTCTCCTGACTTTCTGAGTCCTGTGGTGACTTTATTTTAAATGTACATCTTTTGTTTACAGTTAGAGACCTTTCGAGTAGGTTGACCTTTTTATAGGTCAACTCTCTTTAGGATCATTCATTGCTTTGCAAATGTTTAAGTTTGTCAAAAAAAAAACTTTTCTGCATTCAATGTCCAAGTGTCTTTGAGATAGTAGTATAACTTGTCACAACCATTTATGTACCAGAAGCCCGGTGAATGAGGTTTGTGCATGGGGTGGGGAGGGGTTCCCCAGACTGGCCTACACCCTCTCACAGTCCAGGACCCCTTGGGGGATGTCTGCCTGCCAGCAGTCAGACATCCCTCCACAGTCCGGAGCTCTCGCAGTCCAAGACCCCTCTCTCCTTACCATCTGACTGCAGTGGACGCGGGAGAGGCTCCCGCCACTGCCTCTGCGCTTGCCAGACATGAGCCTGGCTTCTGGCTGAGCAGCGCTCCCCTGTGGGAGCACACTGACCACCAGGGAGCAGCTCCTGTGTTGAGTGTCTGCCTCCTGGTGGTCAGTGTGCCTCATAGCGACCAGTTGTTCTGCCATTCAGTCAATTTGCTTGTTACACTTTTATTATATAGGATTACACACACACACACACAAACACACACACACACACACACACACACTATTTCATAGAATCCTAGCACTTTTTTAAAACTGGAAAGTCTTTAGAAATCAACTTTCTGACACACTCATTTTCCTGACAGTAAAACAGAACCTCTAAGATAGTAAATTGATTTGATTGGCAATAGAGAAACCAAATCTACAACCCCCCTGGCTTAGTGGTATGCACATGCCTTGTTGATATTATTGGCAGATGATGTAAAAGACATACTTTAATCTGATTTAACTGGTGGGAAATAGAAGGAAGAAGTCAAAACAATGACCTTGGGTCATAGAATCGAGCAGTCTTCTCAAATGAATAGACATAACTGGTCACCAAGGACCCACATCCCTGTTTTTAATACCTTCCGTCTTACTTGACCCTGATAAAAACCCCACCTATGCATTGCAGAGTTACAGGAGAAATCTGACCATTTTTTCACTTGGGAGATAGAGGAAGTAAGGCTCATGGTGCAAGCTGTATGTCTAGAATCCTGGCTCTCTACCTGCCACTCAGAGCTGTGTGTGATACAGGATCCTGGCAGCATTTCCCAAGCTCCAAGGTAGTCAGGAGCCCAACCTGTGTCCACAGTCTTACCTCCCCAGCCCCACGCCTTTGAATCTTGGATCTATTGCTCCAAAGTAGACACACACCGCCTCTCTGTCAAAGGGGCGGCTTTGTCATGCATATTGATTAGTTGAAAGGGCATTGCTGCCATCTGGCTGGCAGATGAAATGTCAAGATCAATACTTCTCATCCTTCAGCTTCCAGGATGAGAAAAAAGGTGGTGAGGGGGACGGTAGTAGGACTATTTACCAACTATTTACCTCATCAAGATGGTTGTAGAAATCGATGTTTGCGGCGCAGAGATACCTCCCAAGCAGTGTGGCATGAGTGGTAAACATTGTAGCGATAGGAAGTTTCCGGGCTCGAGAAAGGATCAGTCCGGTTCCGGCCTGCCATTCGTGGAAGTGGGTAATGACGTGTTTACCGTCTGCATGGTCTGTCACCTACATCAGGAAGGAAGCATTTAGAAAAGCTGGTGGTGAAAGTTACTCTTGCTCATGGCCCACAACATCAGGAAAGTTATCGTGCCTGTAAGTTTTAGCTCAATTTGAAGGGATCTATATATGAAGCAGGTAGATTTAGCAAGAGTGTTTTATAGGATTCAGTGGCATAAAGCCCAGCGGTCCTCATACTTAGCCTACCTACCTCAGGTCACCTGGAAGGCTTGTTAAGCACTGACATCTGGGTCTCATCCCCAGGTAATCTAATTCAATGATTCTGGGCTGGAGGGCAATAATTTTCATTTCTTACAAGTTCGCAAGTGATGTTGCTACTGATGGTCCAGGAAATACTCTTATTTTATTTTTTATTGATTTCAGAGAGGGAGAGAGAGATAGAAACATCAATGATGGGAGAGAATCATTGATCAACTGCCTCCTGCATGCCTCCTACTGGAGATCTAGTCGGCAACCCAGGCATGTGCCCTGACAGGGAATGGAACCATGTCCTCTTTGTTCATAGGTCCATGCTCAACCACTGAGCCACACCAGCTGGTCTGGGAAATACTCTTTGAGAACCACTGACTTAAGCTAAAACCTTTGTATTTGCAAGTATCTGCTCTTGCCCTGGCCTGTGTGTTTAGTGGTTAGAGCATTGGCCCTCAACCTTCTGGCTCTGGTCAGCACCTCTGGAAGGCAACCAATCAGCATGTCTCTTCTCTCTCTCTCTCTCTCTCTCTCTCTCTCTCTCTCTCTCTCTCTCTCTCCTCTCTCTTTCTTCCCCTCTCGGTTTCTTTCCCTTACCTCCCTTCCACTCTCTCTAAAAAGTCAATGGAAAAATTACCCTCCAGCGAGAATTAACATAAATAAAGTGTCTGCTCTTCACAAAGGTTTTCACAGGTATGAACAGCACAGATCAATGGTGCCGCAGAAGCAGGTGACAGCAGAAACAGGACTTGCCCAGAAAAGCCTTGGGGTTTTTTCAGTGTCTTTATTTACCCTTTGAACAAAAAGACAATCTCTGTTTCTGCAACTGCTTTACTTAGAGGAAGTTGAGCTCTTACTTTCTTGCTTCTCTCCCTTGTATTCCCTTTAACAGAAGGATGACAGCAGATACACACACATGTGCACACATGCACACTTGAGGCTGACTTCCGCCCTGGGGGCAGTGGCTCAGGGAGGCAGTTTGCAGACAAAGACACTAACAGATACTAAAACAAGATTTCATATTGGTCATTAGCCCAGATCTGCCAGGACCCTCACCCTCCTTCTCCTATTCTGTCACCAACACAAAGCAATAGGACTGCTTCTCCACCCTCTCCTTTACTTTGAGGCAGCCCTTTATGGCTATTGGACTATGATTCAATCAGTAAGAAAGACTGGCCAGCTCATAGCCACTTGGCCTGGAGGTCAAACCCTCCCTGGTATTAGCTACAACAATCAAGGTTTAACTATAAGACTGCGCACAAAGACCACTAGGGGGTGCACCAAGGAAGCATAACAAAATGTGGAGACAAAGAAACAGGACAAAATTGTCAATGGAAGATATAGAGTTCAGAACCACACTTTTAAGGTCTCTCAAGAACTGTTTAGAAGCCGCCGATAAACTTAATGAGATCTACAAGAAAACTAATGAGACCCTCAATGTTATATTGGGGAACCAACTAGAAATTAAGCATACACGGACTGAAATAACGAATATTATACAGACTCCCGACAGCAGACCAGAGGAGCGCAAGGATCAAGTCAATGATTTGAAATGCGAGGAAGCAAAAAACACCCAACCGGAAAAGCAAAATGAAAAAAGAATCCAAAAATGCGAGGATAGTGTAAGGAGCCTCTGGGACAGCTTCAAGCGTACCAACATCAGAATTATAGGGGTGCCAGAAGATGAGAGAGAGCAAGATATTGAAAACTTATTTGAAGAAATAATGACAGAAAACTTCCCCCACCTGGTGAAAGAAATGGACTTACAGGTCCAAGAAGCACGGAGAACCCCAAACAAAAGGAATCCAAAGAGGACCACACCAAGACACATCATAATTAAAATGCCAAGAGCAAAAGATAAAGAGAGAATCTTAAAAACAGCAAGAGAAAGAAACTCAGTTACCTACAAGGGAATACCCATACGACTGTCAGATTTCTCAACAGAAACTTTGCAGGCCAGAAGGGAATGGCAAGAAATATTCAAAGTGATGAATACCAAGAACCTACAACCAAGATTACTTTATCCAGCAAAGCTATCATTCAGAATTGAAGGTCAGATAAAGAGCTTCACAGATAAGGAAAAGCTAAAGGAGTTCATCACCACCAAACCAGGATTATATGAAATGCTGAAAGGTATCCTTTAAGAAGAGGAAGAGGAAGAAAAAGGTAAAGATACAAATTATGAACAACAAATATGCATCTATCAACAAATGAATCTAAGAATCAAGTGAATAAATAATCTGATGAACAGAATGAACTGTTGATTATAATAGAATCAGGGACATAGAAAGGGAATGGACTGACTATTCTTGGGGGGGAAAGGGGTGTGGGAGATGCGGGAAGAGACTGGACAAAAATCGTGCACCTATGGATGAGGACAGTGGGTGGGGAGTGAGGGCGGAGGGTGGGGTGGGAACTGGGAGGAGGGGAGTTATGGGGGGGAAAAAAGAGGAACAAATGTAATAATCTGAACAATAAAGATTTAATTAAAAAAAAAAAAAAAAAAAGAAAGACTGGCCAGATGGAACCCACTCCCAACATACAGATCTGTGATTCGGCTTTAGACCACACCCCACTTTGCTAGGGATGCTCTTTCTTCACCATCTAATTTTCAGGCTAAGCATCATCGTCTTGAGGTAATGCAAAGAAGGTGAAGAAATCTTACTGCCAAGCTTGGAGGACTTAGGAGAGTGCAGGCTTGGTTCACTTAAAAAGGACTAGTTTGGCCCTAGCCAGCTTGGCTCAGTGGATAGAGCATCAGCCTTCGGACTAAAGGGTCCCAGGTTCGATTCTGGCCAAGGGCACATGCCTGGGTTGCAGGCTTGTTCCCCAGTAGGGGGTGTGCAGGAGGCAGCCAATCAATGATTCTCTCTCATCATTGATGTTTCTATCTCTCTCTCCTTCTCCTTTCCTCTCTGAAATCAATCAATAAATATATTTTTTAAAAAAGGACTAGTTTGGCCAGGCCACCACAGCTCAGTGGTTGAGTGTCAACCATGAACCTGAGGGCATGGTTCAATTTCTGGTCAGGGCACATGCCCGGGTTGCCGGTTTGACCCCCCAGTGTGGAGCATGCATGAGGCAGGCAATCAATGATTCTTTCTCATCATTGATGTTTCTCTCTCCCTCTCTCCTCCTCTCTGAAATCAATAAAAATATATATTAAAATAAATAAAAAGGACTAGTTTCTAATATTCTTTTTTTTCATCTCTGGGATATTTCACTGCTATGGACTCCTTAGCACCTGGTGGGATCACTTCAGCACTTAGTGAATGATAAAAATATCTAAAAGTCACTGCAATTACACAAGAACTCATGCATAATCAAAACCAAATATTTCAAGCTATTTTCTATTCCATTGAATCTATAATTCATATACATAGTGCATGATGTATACTATTTTTTCTTGCGCATATGTTGAGTATCATCTATGTAGCAGCAAATATAATTGGATTTTATACACATCATTCTATATATTAATAAGCATTATTATTACCCCAGTCCAAAGGCTGATAGTTAATTTGAGGAAAGCAGAACATTTTCTCTGAAATGTACTAGGACAATCAATAAAGGCAGCATCTCAAAATTTACTTAATGTAAACGTCATGGGATCATTGCTGGTCAATGCTGGGCACAGAACACAATTGTGCTGCTCCTCTGTTGTATCACTATCCAGTAAACTGTACCTCTTTTAAGAACCAGGCTGTTAAAGATCCAAATATCAACATGTCGTTGGCTTCTCGGTCATGATAAGGAATGCCGACACTGCATGCTTCCCAGAGGTCACCCTTCCACCTGTCCAATTTCCAAGCTGAAAACCCTATGTCAAAGAGCACCACGTAAGGACTCCCCTCTATCAGCCATCTTCCAAAATGTACCTGCCATATAAAGAACACAGAACCATGTATTTGTGCTCAGCAGATGTAAGCTTTATTTAGAACTCAATTGCAGATTACAGATTCTGTACAGAAAACCACAGTGATACCACAAAGCATCTGATATGGAGTTAGAATGGGCTTGCATTCATTCATCTAAAATATTTCCCTGCTTGGGAAATGCTTTTCATTAAATTTAGTCATTAAAAAAAAAAGGATCCTCACTCCTTTGACCTTGAGCTCATGGTTTTAGGATTTAATATTATAGTCTACTAGAGACCCAGTGCACAAAATCGTGCACAGGTAGGGTCCCTAGTGGCTCCCAGCTGCTGGCTGCCAGCCAGTGCCTTCCTTTGTTTTATGCCACCCTCTGGTGGTCAGCACACGTTACAGCAAGCGATCGAACTCCCGGTCGGTCGAACCCCCAAGGGGACATTTTGCATATTAGGCTTTTATATATAGAGATGTTTTTATGATAAAATCCAAAGTTGAACTGCTCTGTATCTTTAGCAACTCACAGTTCAATATTATTTCTACTGTGTCACTTATTTTCCTTTATGCAACAGGAGTCAACATATTTTCTGCTAGAAAAAGTGTTTTTTTTTCTGTTGACAAATGTATATGATTTCTCCAATTCCTCCTATAAAAATGAATGTTGCTGGAAGTGTTTCTCAGTATGGTTGCTGCCAGAAATCTTAATTAAAAATATTGCCTAAGATACATTATCTCATTAATGTAGCAGCCCAAAGTCTAATCCTATTACATTCTTCAAAGTGACTGTCCATCAGTTCAGTTAATCGAACAACCACCTCCAAGACTTTTGCCGGTTTGCCCCATTGCACAAATGCTGAAATTAAACACCATCTTCATCTATTCATCTTCCTGCACTTTTGCCCAGGCTGCTGATTGCTGCTGGGGAGAGTCACAGTCACGTACATTTGTGACATTGAAAAGTCATGACTGTACATCAGAGATGTCAGATATTCTTTATCTCTTCCTTGAACAGTTTTCAGAACTTCTTCCTTCAAATTTTTTATTTTAACACTTGCCTCCTAACTTTTGTAAGATGACCTTTAACTCCTACTTCATTAAGATCATCAAATACATTGAGTGAGACCATACTGAATCCTTCACTCACCCTTTATTACCTGTGTAAGTGAAAGGGGAGAAAGTGATTCTCTCACTAGTGCTTTGGGTCTTGTTCCCGCTCCCATTCTCAGTGGCTTTCCTTTCTTCAATCATTCATTTCTTCTGAATTTTCAACTTCTCCCTGTCTGCTAGATATTTCTTTTTTGGCATATAAATATGCTCAGACCTCACTGACATTTAATAAAACACTAATTCTCAAAATCACACAACTCTGAAACTACTTAATTTATCTCACCTCGTCAGAGAAAAATCTCATAGCCACAGCTTTTATACTCTTTTCTCACCATTCATACATTCCTCAACCCACAGCAATCTGATTTAACCTCACCTTCCTTTGAAGCGTATCTAACAAGGTTACCGTGAATGACCTTAATATTGTTAAACCAAAATGACCCTGGTTCAATCCTTTGTTGATTTGGTTCCTCCTTCATACTTGAAACTCTCTTCTCCCTTGTCTTGACCTCACTATTCCTGTATTTACAGCAACAAATTCTCAGAAACCTAGTGGCTAAAAGGACACAAACTAATTATTCTATAGTTAGGGGGTTGTAGCATGAAATAAATCTTATGGGTTAAAATCAACATGTTGGCAGAGTTTCATTCCATTTGTAGTCTCTGGAAGAGAATCTATTTCCTGGCCTTTTTCAGCTTCTAGAGGCCACCTCCATTCCTTGGCTAGTGGCCCTTCCTCCATCTCCAAAGCTCCCAGTGCCAACCTCTGTTCCATTGTCACATCTCCCCAAGTCTGATTCAACTGCCTCCCTCTTATAAGGACCCTTGTGATTACATTGGGCCCAGCCAGATAATTTCTCCATCTCAAGATCCTTAACATAATCACATGTGCAAAGGCCTTTTTGCTACATAAGCTACTATTTTCATAGGTTCTGAGGATTAGGATTTGAACATCCTTGGTTCTACATTGCTAGCTGTGCTTCTACTTTTGCAATCTCTAACTTCTTTTACTGTAACATGTTGACGTCCCCAAGGTTTGGCTCAAAATGTTCTTTTAGTCTATAAACGTCCACAGAACAATACTATGAACACGAATTATATACAATTTAGACACAAATGACTTCCCCAGAAATATCTTTACCCTATAAATTCTGCTGAGCTCTAAACCCATTATGTTACTAGATATTTATATTGCCTCAAAAATGTACCTGTTTATAATCAAGTTCATCATCTTTCTCACAAACCTGCTCCTTTTCCCTACATAGAGGAATGGTCTTCTCTTGGGAGTTAATGTGAATTGTGTCTGCTTGCCCATTACAGTTTACTAAGACTTGCCAAGTGAAGTGTTGGTCAGTATCCCTTACCTGGCAGCCATGTTGATTCATTATGTCCACTGCTCTTCTAACAGCGTCATTTGCAGGTTCACACTTTTCCACCTGAGTCTTCATATTTTGCTCAAAATATGGACCAATCAGAAAGTAATTGTCTCCCCATTCATCTGCTGTTGTTCTGGCCTTTGTCTGAATCACAGTATAGATGCCACCAACTGTTGAAAAGAAAAGGTTCCATTATCATTCAGCTTAATCATTCATTTAAGTGATAAAGGCATGGAAGTGAGTTCCCATGTTTTGTTAAGTATTTAGGGTCCATCAAGCACAAGGCTTCATTTAACTTTCTAAAGTATTTAAAGACACTAACAAATAGTCATTATTCGTTCCATTCATGCATATTTTAAAGCCCCTTCTGGGTACATGTCAGATAATAGCAGATTGGCAACAGTAAGTAGGGCAGTACAAACATTTCAAAGAAATCTGAAGAGACTATTGGAATGAAGCACTTGGCTTAATGCTCTATCCACATTGGGGTGTCAAAATGAGGCAAATAGCCATTGTCATGCCATAAGCCCTCAGCAGCTGTAGTCACCTTTCACCCCTTCTCTGACAGTGGTCCAAGAAGGGGCTAAGGTATATCCAAGTAACAGCCACTGCTGAAATGATGAGCAAGTTTTCCAAATTAAAGAGCCACTTCCATTCTAAGGAACCAAGTGAGGTCACCTTTGCCAAGAAGATCGCTCTGATAGATTTTGAGGGGGAATGTTCGGCCCAACTCTCATGTCAAACCCAATGACACAAATACAAATTTTCATATGGTATGTCCTTTCCCCTCCCCCTCCTCTGGCATTGTGGCCACCACTATTAAAACACAAAGCCAAAAAACATGCGTACTATTGGAAAATGCATATGCCTTTGGATCCAGCGTGTCCACATATAGAAAATGGTCCTGGAGGAAAACAAAAAGAGTGCCAGCAGATATGTGTAAAAGAATATGTACGGAGCATTACAATTTTGAAAGTTATAACCAACTTACATTGAACTAGTTAACTCATTTAACCTAAGGCTCAATTAGCTCATCTATCCAACGGGAATTTGCAGAGGCAACTAAGAAGAATTTTTTTTTAAGTGTGAGTCACATTTTAGCAACATATTTACATATATATATATAAGCTTTCTTCAAATAACTTTTCATCTTCGGTTGATGTCTTTCCTTCATCTTCATCTTATCAGGGAGAATGCGTTCTCGGGTTCTGACGGCACATGCTTATTAATGCCTTATTCACATTTCTATTCTTGAATACTCTTATTTACAACTGTGCATCTTGCCCAGAGATCTTACTAGGAGAACATCCTTGTTTGTTAGATTATGTGTTCAAAATTTAAATACACTGTGTAAATGCAAGCACATTTTTATTTGCTAAAGGACACAGGGGGGAAGAGGAATTCTTTATTTGAAGAAAATAAATGGTTAGATTTGGAAATTGAAATGGAAAGATAAACATGGTTAATTAATTTGCTACTTCCTTTTCTGATTTGAGGCCTTCGGTCTTGATATAGATAGTCTCCAAATAGCCTTACAGTGTTCATAAATACTATGGCTATGTTCTTTCAGTCTATCAGGAATAAAAACATAAAATATAAAAATAAAAGTCTATCCTATCCTGTTAGAGGCCTGACCATAAATAAATCTTTTCTCCCAGACATCTCTCTGTACAGTCTTTCTGTGGAGAGGACCTCTTATTGCATTTCATATGCTCAAGCACCAACTTAGCCTCTCTCTGCTCTTCCCATATCCATATGCCAACTAGTTTCCCTTGATTTTTACTCTGTTTTCCACAAACTCCTCCGTTGGCATGCTAATTATAGGTGAGTGTGATGGCATAGACATAGGGTCATTCCCATTTTCAAATTTGAGCTATAAACCAGAGGTTCACCAGCACATATTTTTTATTGATTCATTGTTTTGTCACAGCATAGATCACTGAATTTGAACTTACACTTCACTTTCAAACCTGTACTTTGTATTTTATTGATCTTCTTTTTTCCCCCAAAAAAACAACATGGGAGCTATCTTTAGTGTGAGGGCAAAGTATCAAGCCTTTCATAAGAAAGAAAAGACGAGCTCCCATGGCATATATGTCATTGAGGTAGCTACAACCCCAAGTTTCTGTCTAGAAACTGCTGATGTTGCTAAAACCAGGATTCCAAAGCAGTATGGAATATGGACATCAGCCAATATAAGACATTTTATATAGGAATATAAATTGGGAGTATCTTCACTACTTGATAAATGTTTAATAGTTACGGAATCTGAAAGTCATATGACTTCAATATGCATAGCTATTAATCGGACCCTTCTGTCTTAAGACAGTTGCAGGAGGAATCATTATACAGTTGGAATATCATTCTGTGAGTCAGCAGGGCTGGTAGGATCGAAAGTAAATGTTACTGGTGATAACAGTCAACAAATGTTTGTGTGCCCAGCACTCTGCTGAATCTGTAGTCCAAAACCAAAGCAGCTTCAGTCTCAGGCAGGGAGAGGTGAGACACTTAGAGCAAGACCAGGTGCACACCCCTCCCCGATCATACATAGTGGCAGCCCATGTTTTACACAGGAGGCGCTCAGACATGGCAAGCAGGATAAAAAGGAACTGAGGAGACTAGGTCTCTCTGAAAGCTATGTGTGTACCAAGCATGGTTTTCCCATAGATTGTGTGTTTCACGTGGTGTCGTTTAAAATGCCATTGACATGGTCACTGCATGTTCACACCAAAGAAAGGAACCTTAGCCCCAAATTACTGTGTTGCCAATGACGGTAGTAACCCTGTTCCATAACTTTTTGTCCACTTTCTGCTTTTGTGTTTAAAAACTGACTCATGGAATCACTCAAAATCAAAGCAAATATGATCATGAATGATTCAACACACTCATTTTGTGAATAAATTTTTATCTTATATGATAAAAGGTTAATATGCAAATTGTCCCCTCAACCGGGAGTTTGACCCGGAGTTCGACTAGAGGGCGGGGCTGGCTGCCCAACCACCTGCGGCCCCTCCCTCTCGGCCAGTCCCGCCCCCAAAAGTCCCCCCCCCCCCAAGTCTGGGATGGGCTGGCCAGCCAACCTCCCACATCTCCTCCCCCCAGCTGTCCGGGCCCGATCAGCTGTGATCGGGGCAGTTCAGCCGGACCCCACCCGTGCACGAATTCATGCACTGGGCCCCTAGTGAAGAATAATAAGTTAACACCTACAAAGTGTTTATTTAATGCTAGGAGTTATTCTAAGTGGTTTACAATTGTTTTCATTTTTACAATATCATTATAGGTAGATACTATTATTATCTTTATTTGTAGATGGGGAAACTGAGACGCAGAGAGGCTCTGAGAGGGATCCACCATCAAACAAGTAATGATGAGACTGGGATTTCAGTTCAGTCTGACTCCAGGGTCCACGGACTATGGACAACAAGACTGTAAGCTACTGTGCTGAGCAACATATTGATGGTTCTTTAAAGATGGTGGCAAGAGGGACAGAGGAAGAAAAGAGCAGTGTCACAAACAATAAACTCCTTCAGGTGTTGGGAGTTTCAAAGCCACTTGGGAAACAGTACTTAAAGGAAATCACTTTTTAAGTTCGGCTCTAGGCACTTCTGAGTTAACAGAAAAAGAAGCCCAGGGCTTAGACAGTGGTTTTCAACCTTCCAGCCCTTTAAATACAGTTCCTCATGTTGTGACCCAACCATAAAATTATTTTCGTTGCTACTTCATAACTGTAATGTTGCTACTGTTATGAATCGTAATGTGAATATCTGATTTGCAGGATGGTCTTAGGTGACCCCTGTGAAAGAGTTGTTTGACCACCAAAGGGGTTGCGACCCACAGGTTGAGAACCACTGGCTTAGAGGAAGTTAGAGCAGTGGTTCTCATGTTATTCGTTGAGGCCTTTAGAAATCTGATGAAAACATTCTGCCCTCTTCTCCAAAACAGCACTTACAGGTAGGAGCACATATTCTCAGATACAATATCTTGAGGTTTACAAACGCTTTGAGGTCCACTTCTATCAAGATCCCCACCTTTAGAATACCTGCCTCAGAACATGGACTTGCAATCATGGTCATTTTCTACCAAGCCCTTTTTGATTATAGTTTTTCCATGTGCCATTCATAGCATATCATGTGACCCAAAGCTAGTGATGGGGCCTAGCTTAAAGGAGGGAGCAGGCAGAATTATGTCCAGCAATATTCTGGCTTAGGGCTAAAATAGATTGTTTTTAGTTGCTTTTAAAAGAGAAGCATTCATTTAGTAACTAAATTACAAAAATGTTCACATATATTACATTAGCATTCATTCTTTTTGACAATGTTCATAAGCTCTTTTTAATGATCCTAAACATCCTCAACATGACCATTGATTCATAGTCTACAATGATTTGGGCAAGTCTGTGCAGAAGAAATGATTGTGGTAAGAGGTTTTCTACAAACCCCAAACTAGTTAGAACCCTGACCCTGCCCCCCGCTGCACATACATTATGTAGTATTAGAGAATCTTGTACTTATTCTTACACACATCACACTTGACTATAGTTGCATGTTCAATGTCTACCATCCTGCAAGTTTGCAAATTTTGGAAGACTGGGAATCAATTTTATATTGTTAAACTCTATGCTCCTCATCTTCCAGTGCCTGACATGTAATAGACACTTGATGAATATTTATATTGAATAATAAATGGATTATAATAATAAATGGATGAATTGATAAAAGCAATACATTTCAAGAATAACATGAACAAATGGAAAAAGTTATTTTGAGGTCAAAGAATTAGCATCCAATAATTTAACTATAACTCTTACATTTGTTATAGTTTACACATTTTCATTGTTTGCTGGCAAAATTCTGGCGGTAAAGGACTTATTTTTTCTCTCTAAGAAATCTTTTGTGTTCTTGGATCTAAATTCATTTCCTGTTTGCCCCTACAAACCACTGAAAGATGGCTGAAGCATATTACGCTCATTCCATTCATGAAGAAACTGCTGTTCAGATAGTTTACTTGCAGGGGTGGGGAACGTCAATCAGGCCTGCAGGCCGTATGAGGTCCGTGAAATCATTTGGTCTGGCTCTGCCAAGGCATTAGAGGTGAGTTAATTAAATGTTTGACCAAAGATAGCAGGCTAATTTTCAGGTTTATAATTTTGAATGGCTCGAGAATAATGGTATATATATATCCAAATGGCCCTTGGCTAAAACAAGGTCCCCCAACCCTGGTTTAAGGGATGTTTTAAAAAGTCTCGGGAATCTATGATCTTTGACTGCAAGTCCAGTGTTCTTTCATCTGTAGAAAATTTCCTTAGGCACTGGATGTTTTAATTTTATCTTTGTGTGGTAATTAAAAGAGCAGTGGACTCAAAGGAGACCTAACTGCTGGTCCCGACCCTGCAATTTACTTGCTCATGAAAGCCTGTAGCTGTCTGTTTCATCTTTGAGGAGCTGGGCTCATGATTGCTAAGATGCCTCATATCCTGGCTATGAACTGGAGGGGAATAAAAGTTCAAAGTTAAAAAGAAACGATGGTGTCAATGTATTATCAGAGGTGAACACAATAATTGTCCATTCATATAAACATCTCTAAAAATTAGTCTGCAATAGATATTAAAATAAAGATATGTTGGAGATGGTAAGTCACATTGTGGGTCCCTTCGCAAGATAACAAAATTCCCTTTCTCTTGCATGGGAAATAAAAGAAAATAAGTATAAAGGAAGCATAGAGGTTGAAAATAAATGTATTCATTTCCTTCATTTAAAAGAAAAAAATCCCTTTGAGCATTTTCTGTGTGCCAGGCACTGTTCTAGGCCTGACATCAGCACGCATGTCATCAGGATACGAGATCCATGGATAACAGCTCTCACCAGTGTGTGCCCAGCACCAGGAGACAATGTTCCATTAAGGTTCGTTAAGTGGAGAGACCAGGAGGAAGAAGAAAGGGCTCTCAGTGGTTCTCAACCTTCTGGCACTTTAAATACAGTTCCTCATGTTGTGACCCAACCATAAAATTATTTTCGTTGCTACTTCATAACTGTAATGTTGCTACTGTTATGAATCGTAATGTAAATATCGACCCCTGTGAAAGGGTCGTTCGACCGCTAAAGGGGTCGCGACCCACAGGTTGAGAACCGCTGGTTAGGTGCTGGAACTCACGCAGACTTCTCCTGAACTGTTTCCTGCTGCTAGTAATTCCTCCCATTTTTTCCACCAACAAGCTATATTCTTGAGTTCCTGCCTACTCTGTAGAGCAAACCTTTATTTAAAGGCACAGTCTGAGATTTATGTGTAACAGAGATGGCTCTGTTCCCAGGAACACGGGGCATATTTAAAAACCTTGAGACTGGAAAAAAAGAAACAGGTATTTGTAAACAGATATTTAAAAACACTTCCCTTCTCCATAGTATGGTTTCTGTTCTCTTTGCTTTCTCCTCACTAAACTGCAAAAACAAAAAAAGACCATGCTTTGTTCTCTTACGTTCACTCTGTGCATTTCTACACAGGCAGACTTGATTTTTAATTTTGATGGTATGATTTTATGAAAGCATACACATGAGCACTTTGAACATGTAGCATAAGGTGAAAATCTGAACAGATGCTGAATATAATTCCTCCACCTTTGAGGTTATGCTGGTTCTGATTAGCGAAAAGGAAATAATATATCATATTCATGTAATCATTTCAGATCCTTTCAGATCCTCTAAATTCCACAAATTGCCACTGACTTTTACCCGTCAATCACTTGACCTGGTCCTTCATGATCCTGAAGAATTCAACCTTCAAAACTTACTTTTTTCTTACTAATATTCTAGACTTTTAAACTAGAGAGTATCAATTCATAAGGAATTTCTTCTTCTATAATTTTACAGATTCCTTTCTTATTAAAATCATTTAGGTTGAGTACTCCATTTTGCCTTCTCCAATCTGGCACAAATGAGATTATACCTTATTGGGAAGTTATTTTAATTTTGTTAATTTGACTTCATTTCTTATTTTATAATTCCTATGTATATGTTATTGAAAATCACTTTTGTTCTTCATAATAGGAGCTCAATATTATGCCTTCTGAGCTGCTTCTAAATTAAAACTTTAATTCCAAGCTAATCTTGAATTACAGGAAACATTAGCTACTTAATAGAAATGCTATCAGTCTATGGAGTTAACGCTTCTGATTGATCCTGATCCGGTACAGTCCTCCCTAAAATAAAGTACAAAGTTGTGTTTTTTGTTGAAAACAAAATCATAAAACCCCAAAAAGTAAATATTAACTTTTTATTTCTATTTTTCCATAACATGGATTTTAAATGAAATGCACATTCCCTAGCAAAGACTAATATGTTCAGCGTTCCCTTCAGCACATATAGGGTGTCCCAAAAAATGTATACACACATTTTCAATAATTATAAAGGCAGTGTTTATTAAAATACACTTCATTTTCAACATTGAGCTATCAGCTATTAAAGTATGTATACATTTTTTGAGGGGTACCGTGTATACACGTCTAAGTTTTCATTGCCTGTTGAAGTAGACACAATTAACTATAACCTAAGCTTATATTCAGTTTGAGTGCCTACTTATTCATTGGCAATTCATTTGATTAATTCATTGTCCTAAATCTACCTTCTTCAGCAATCTGTCAATGAGCCACCTTCCGGGGCCAGTACAAACCTTTATTGGTCACTTCCCAAGCAACTTCAAAGAGAAGCAAATCTTCCACGGGAAGTTCTTCAACTTCCCACTGGGGAAGCCCACTCAGGGATGTCACAGATAGGGATCGGCCTCGGAGCATTCTTCTTCCAGTCCCCTGAAACTTGTTTGATTCACTCTTTCAATTAACTGTAGGAGCCGTGCGCTTTAGAGAGTGGAGGTTCAAAGCTGGTAGATCGCAGGCTTGGATAGCTTTTCGTAGGAGTGAACCAGCAGAATAAAATCTCATCTGCTTCCCAGAGAACTCACAGGTGAGGGAGGAATTGTCCAGTTCTCTTTGCAGTCTTTCCAGGTGGGTCCACTGAGGACAGTATCTCCAATCAGAATCTACGCAAAAAACCCAGAGCTATCCCAAGTAAAACCCTCAGTCTGGGGTTTAGGCAAGCAACCCCCCGTAGTGCCATCCTCATAGGCTGATCATGGTGCATGTCCAGACCTTTAGCCCTTGTCCTTTTGACCAAATTCCTAGACTCACACGGTCACCAGTGCTTATTTCATCACTTCCAAAGGGATCCAAGAATTTAGCAATTCCCCTTATAAATTTTGCAGAGCATTTTAGATTACACATAGAATTGACTGGGACATATTTCTATACTTCCAATCACTTTATATTTCCTAAGTATTATTCTTTCTTTTGATTCCCATTTCTAGAGCATTAAAAATTATTCCTAATTATTTTATTCTACATCTGCAAATTTACCTTTGAAGGTAAGTATAGATTTTGGCTTCCCTTTTCTTAATTACTTTTTCTTTAAAATTTCCCTGTGGGCAGATCCACGTGCCCTGTCTTTGGGGTTCGTGGGTCGCCCGGGGACGCAATAAACCTTTCCTTTTCTTTCTTAAAAAAAATAAAAAAAAAATAAAAAATAAAAATAAAATAAAATAAAATAAAATTTCCCTGTGAAAAACTATAAATGCAAGTGTGTGTTTGGGTATAAAACACAAAGAATATAGTTTTGCCTGATCAATGATTGTCAGATCATAATTTTAATGAGATAGTAGAAATAAATTTTAGTCCCATTTGTACATTTACCTCAAATAGCTTCAAACTGATAAAGAATAATTTAGTGGATATAATCATGTTAAAATAAGAGAAAAATGCAAACTATATTAGGTTCTGAAATATAACCAGGATCACCTTGTCAATAAATGCCATATATTTACTTTTTCATGTGTTTGTATGTATATATGTATGTGTGTGCTAATTTATTTACATACACAAAGAGACACACTCTATATTGCATTTAAATGGAGTAACAACGTTCTCAAGCATGCTGACTTTTGAAATATCTTACTTTATAGATTTAGCTTACAATCAGTATTTTTACATTTTCATTCCATATAGCGATAGAATTGAAATTCACACAAAATATCCTTTACATTAGAATTACAAGTAGAATTCTCTTAAAATAATTTGTTACTTGTTTGTACTATCACTATTTTATTTTTGCTCTTTATTATTACTAAAAGTTACTTATTAGTAACTTTTTATTAGGTATTTAGCCATTGTTTGTACACTTGGCCTTATTAACTCAAGCCCTATATTAATGACTTAAAACAGATAAAAGCATACTTCATTATCTGATATTAAATCAATGTAAATCAAGTAGATTAAATGTCTTTCATGATTACCAACATATTTGATTCTTATCTTTGTCTACAAAATAAATTTAAGTATATAGTTTGTTATTCATTCAGTTGGTAAGAAAAAAACTATATGGTTAATAAAAAAAATAGAGCACTAAAACAGTAAATATAGGAGCCCAATTTATCAAAACGACTGTCTCCTTTACAGAATAATTTGCTGGTGTTGACATAACCTCTGTTGAGTCCTGCAAATACAAATTCCAATAAAAACAAACAGAAGGGCATGCTGACAAGAAGTGAGGATGGGATGGCAGGGTGATGACAGAGAGTCAGGCTTGCAGTGTTCAGGCTCAGCAACCCTGTGATTGGTTCTTCCAGGAATAAACAAGCCCCAGGATAGCCAGTTCACAATACCCAAATCACATTGTGACACTTTATTCATTTATAGCAAGTTCCAGGTACCATGTGCTTGGTTGTAAAATAATCATTCTTGGGGCCACATCCAATCTGCCGCTTATCAGCTATGCAAACTCAAGCCAATTTCTTAACTAAGTTTTGGTTTTCTGACAAAAATAGGAAAAACACCATTTACATAGGGTACTTAGTAGAGTGCCTGACACTATATTTACCACTTTATAACTGTCAGTCTTATTTATAAGACATAGTAGTCTATTAAAAGCACTTCTGGTTGTTACTATTGCAGAGGAAATGAAAGAGAGGCTTATTTTTCTTTAAATTTTTTGAATATTGTGCCACATGCATATGTTATCTGCTCAATGACCTTAGATCAATGAAAATATTTCATGACATACTAATAAAAGTAAGTAACATATAAAAAATAAATAAATAGTACAATTGATTCAGTGTTATACAAAAAATAGATATGTATTTCTCCTAGTGAAATATATCTATACTAATAAAATGGTAATATGCTAATTAAACTGGATCAACCCGACCTCTTCCAGACATCTGACTTCCTTCCAGATAAAGTCATGGTGGCAGGGGGCCAAGGCAGAGGTGGTTAGGGGTGATCAGGCCAGGAGGGGAGCAAGCAGTTAGGGGCAATCAGGTTGGCAGGGGTGGGCAGTTGGGGGCAAAATCAGGCTGGCAGGGGAGGGCCATTGGGGGCGATTGAGTCAGCAGGGGAGGGCAATTATGTGGTGATCAGGCCTGCAGGAGAGCAGTTAGGGCTCAATCAGGCCAGCAGGCAGGGGAGCAGTTAGGAGCCAGTGGTCTCGGATTGTGAGAGGGATGTCCGGCTGCCAGACATCCCCCAAGGGGTCCCAGATTGTAGAGGGTGCAGGTCAGGCTAAGGGACACACACCCTCCATGCATGAATTTCATGCACCAGGCCTTTAGTATAAATATAAGACTGAAATAGATACAAAATTCTCACAATTGTTTTCTTTAGGAGGTACTGATGATGATTATTATTTATGTGCTTTTTTTCTTTACTCGTATTCTACAAATTTTCTGCAATAAACATGTATATAAATTTATATATATGTATACACACACACACACACACACACACATATATATATATATATATATATATATATATATTTACACAGAATAAGTAAACCAGTTTTTGAAAGTTTAATCACATCACCTCGTGATTATTTCATTCATTCTCACTCATTATTTTGCTATTTAGAAAATTTTGATCTCTGGCTCTCACTTGGGCTTTTGCCTCAGGCACAAGCACTCTCAGCAACACATCATCTCCTAGTGACCCCTCACAGTAGCCTGATATAACTCTTTTGATCCTATTATCCCAACATGAGGGCATTGTGCCAATTCTTTGCTTTTCCGTGGTGAATGCCTTTTTCAAAATTGCTCCCTGAGTCAACAAAGGTGAAATAAATGGAACCACCCAAAATATGTCTGTGTGATCTTCATTGTCCATGATATCTGGATGAATCCCCCTCTTTCCAATATATGTGAAAAGAAAGGCATTCACATATGCAGTATGATCTGGATGGGAATCAGAGAAAGTTCTCTGCTTTCTTAATAGTCTGAGAATCTCTGAGTTCTCTCCTCTAGAATTTATATTAAAAGCATAAATTGGTGAGCTAAGAGCATAATCAATGAGAGAAAGGGAAATGGGGTTTCCCCAAGATGGGAGAAGAAATCTCGAAAATTCCTGATCCCTAATTTCACACTCACACTAATGTGTTATCATTCAATAAAAAGACATGAGAGGACAATTAGAAAAAGAAAGATTTGTGTTTGGTTTCCTTGGTAAGTATTCCAGCAGAGGTCGCTAGATACATGTAGAAAACCACTCTGGTTTTGACATTTCCCAACCATCTTGGAAGTCTTTAGGATTTTGAAGGCTTGATTGGCCTGCTCCTGCATATCCACACAGGTTCAGTTAATGTATTTATGAGTACCTACTATGTGCAACTTACTATTCTAGAAGCTGAATATATTTTCAATGAACCGTGGACAAGTTCCTCCTTCAGTGAACAGATAGACATTAATCATGTAAACAAATACATAAATTATATTGTTTCAGATGCGGCTAAGTTTCTGAAGAAGAAAGACTACAAAATGGTACAAAGTGCCATTTGATAAAAATTGGTGCTTTGGCTGGGGATGGACAGGAAGACTACTTGGAGGAAGTGATATTTGAATTGAGACACAAATAATGAGAAAGAGACAACACTTGAGATCTGGGAGGAGAGATAGCAATGCCTTTAACACTTACAGGGACAGAAAGAAGACCAATGTGCTTAGAACCCAGAGCATAATGAATGAGAGAGACTCTGGTGGGGGACGTCAGAGAGGGAAGCAGGGAACACATCACAGAGAAGCTGGTAGAGAGCTTGCGTTTTATCCTGGTTGTGATAGGAGGTCATTGGATGGTTTTAAGAAGAGGAGTAATGTGACTACTGATACTACAGAAATAGGATTAAAATTAAGAATTAAATATGTGGTCATAACCCTTGGCTTCATGAAATTTACATTGTGGCAGGGCAAGCCAGTATTAAAGAAGTAATTTAAGGACTTTGAAGGTGGTGAATTATATACAGTACTGTGAGAGCATATAATAATAGAATTAATGTGATCTAGAATATTAAGAATGACTTCTCAAGAAAAATAAAAGGCATCCAAATGAGAAAGTCAAAAGGAAAAATATCACTATTTGAAGATAGCATTTTATTATATGTAGAAAACACTAAAGACACCATCAAAAAAAGCTGTTAGAACTAATTAACTAATTCAGTAAAATTGAGGAATTCAAAATCAATAAGCAAAAATCTGTTGTATTTCTATTCACTGAGAACACACTATCAAAAAATTTAAGAAAAATTCCATTTATAATTGCATTCAGAGAATAAAATACCTAAAAATAAACTTAACCAAGGATGTAAAAGACCTGAACACTGAAAACGATGAGACATTGATGAAAGAAATTAAAGACAATTAAATGGAAAGATAGTCTATGCTCCAGGATTGGAAGATTTAATATTTTTAAGGTATCCATATACCCAAAGCAATCTAAAGATTTAATGCAATACTATCAAGCTTCCAGTGGCATTTTCACAGAAATAGAACACATAACACTATAATTTGTGTGGAACCATAATCACAAAAGACTCCAGTAGCCAAAGCAATCTTGAGAAAGAAGTGCAATGCTGGAGGTATCATACTTCCTGATTTTAAACTGTATTACAAAGCTATAGTAATCAAAAAATGATATTGCCATAAAAACAGACACATAGATCTGGGAACAGAATAGAGAACTCAGAAGTAAGCCCACACATATAATCAATTAATTTATTAACTGAGGCTAATTTATTGATTGATGCAATGGGGAA